GCTATTTCCGCCAGCAATAGGGATAAAACGGCGTCGAACGACGTAAAGGTCCCCGGGGGAGGGCCGCGAGGTGGTCGACAAATAACGCGCGTATTCGATACACGTAGGAACGTTACGGTAATAAAAGGAGGTAATAACTTGGCGCCCACGGACACGTAGCGCACGTGCCGTGTGTGTGTGTGTGTGTGTGTTTGAGTATGTGCGTGCCCAGTGTTCACTTCCAGCTCCTTGGTCTCGCGCCATTGACTCGTCTTCTTGCGCCAATACAGCCAACTTGTCCCACGTGGATCTAATGCGTCGCGATTCACATGGAGGCTACACGGTGGATAAAAAAATAAGCCCCCGGACGCGGTCGCGATTTAATATCGCGGCGTTTTATCCCGGCGCTCGCGCGCGCCTCCCGGGAGAGTTTTATCGTAACGATGCATCACGACTACATATAGCGGGATGGAGAGAGCGCGGGGGTCGTTAATTTAACCGGCCGATTGTATTCGTACGTAAATCCGCTTTACACGAAGATAATAGATTGGCGGTGTAACTGGCCAAGGATTCCGCGCGACACCGTAAATAATAACGACGCGTGCGCACGTCGATAATGATTTAATCAGATTCGCGATGATTTCGGGAGGGATCGACCGTTGTTGACGGTCGGCCCGGGGATCGAGTCGAGGGATGAATCGAGATTATATCTGACGTCGGCGTGATTCCCGTCTCCGGCCGGCCGTTCATTGTCTTTCACAATACGCGACCTCGCGGTGTCGGCTGTCGGCCGCACGCCGTTAGGCTACCCGTCAATGTTTAAAAGATCCCCCAGGAAGAGGGTCAAGGGTCATTAGGCACGTAAAGGCGTGACTCGCGTATTCCGGGGGACGTTATACGGCGGACACGGCGGCGATCACGTAGCCGCGCGCACTCGATGCACATTCATCCGTTCTCGGTTACCGAGCCGTCACGGCTCGCGCCAGGATAATGTCCGGATTCGTATTCCCACGTGGTTCCCGGATCATGTAGATCCGCCCCGCCATTATCGGCAAATCCGCGCCTGGTCGAAAATGTGATAGCGCGCCGAGTTCCTGCGCGAATCAAACCGCGGCGCACAATGCATTTGCGGACGCTTTTCGCGCATCGCGCCACACGACTGGCACGAGCTATGGAGCCGTGAGGGCTCAATCGAGCGAGCTTAAAGTACGGAAAAGGAATAGTTGTCGCCGGCCATAGGGTCGGCTCGTCCTTCCACCGTCTCTAATGGCACGGAAGAACGTTATAACGAAAGAAGAATTTCGCTCGCGAGTTCAAAGATTCCGAGGACGAGGTGAGATTTACTAGCTACGCGTGACTGGAATCCGCCAGGCTGGAACTCGGGCGATTTTCTTTTTTCGCGAAATCTCGGCCGGAGGTGCGCGCTCAAGGTAGATTCCTCGACGCGGCGGAATTGTCTTGATGGTTCAAAGGAGTTATTATGTAGATAGCACTCGCCG